GTTCATGTTTTATTTTTTTTATTTTAACACAGGTTGTTATTTTCATTGCCTGCTCAGTGTCCTATAACTTGAATGAAATTGCTTTTTATATGCAAAAGTGAGGGCAATCCTTGCCTCTTGGTAGCCCAGCTGACCCATATCTGGTGCCCTCAAGGTATGCAGTACAGGTTTAGTGACCATTCGAAGTTACAAACTGACCCATTAAAAAAATAGAACGTTTTCCAAACTTATAGCTGTTGCGACATTCCCGTGGTCACGTGATCAAAATTCAGAAGTTTGGAACTGACTCATATTTATGACGGTTGCAATGTCCCTGGGGTGACATGATCCCCTTTTGTGACCTTCTGATGAGCAAAGTCAATGGGGAAGCCGGATTCACTTAACAACCGTGTTACTAATTGAACAACGGCAGGGATTCCCTTAAACGACTGGCAAAAAAAGGTCATAAAATGGGGCAAATCTCACTTAAGAGCTGTCTCGCTTATCAGTAGAAATTTTGGGCTCAAATTGTATATGTGAGGTATGCAGGAGTGGACTTCAAAAATTTTAGCAAGCGGTCCTCTGGCCAGTTGCTGGGTGGGTGTGCCTATGGTGGGTGCAGGGGTGGGTTTCTACCGGTTCTGTCCACCTCTGTAGAACCGGTAGCTCTGAAGAGCAGCAGACATAGAACCGGTTCTATGTCTGCTGATGTTTTTGCCCACCCACCCACCTGGGCTCTTACCTGATCTTTATTTCCTGATTTTTCAACTTCAGCTGCCGAATGAGGCACAGCTGCAGTTAAAAAAGCAGGAAAAGAGGCTGGTTCAAAGGCTGCTTCTCTGCAAGCAGCCTGCTGATGGCGAGTTACAGGCGCACGGCTCCCAGCTTGCAGGGAAGCTCGTAAATCCCAAGCCGGTATTTAACCCAGTCGTATCGCACGCATGGGTGGGTGTGGCCTAGTCGGCCTCCTGCACCATGGCGGGGGGGGGGGGCGTTTTCACCCTCCCCGGGCTCCGGAGGATTTCCTCAAGCAGTAGTGGAGGGTGAAAACGGCCTCCACAGGCCCCTGAGGCCCTCTGGAGTTCCTGGGAGGGCGAAAACAGCTTCCCTGGGCTCCAGAGAACTCCTGTTTCTGGCTTTCTGGAGTCTCAGGGAGGCCCATTTTTCTCCCTCCCTGAGCCTCTGTGAGGGCCCTGGACTCTGGCATGCAAAACAGGCCAACGTGGAGACTCCTGGGAGGGCAGGGCGGGGTGGGACCAACCAGGGGTGGGATTTACCGGTTCGCCGAACAGGCTATTAAAAATGATAAAATTAGTGACTTCTGGTCGCGCTTCCGTCGATGATGGACCAGAGACCGCAACTGTGCGCGGCTTTGATCCGTGCTTGCCCTGTTGGTGGGGTCCGTGAGGGACTGAAAACATCTGACCCACCTTGTAGGGGTGGGGGAAGAGGGGGAGATTGCCAGCTGGGTCGAGGGAAGCCACATCTCCCCTCCCTGGCTTGGTATACTCCCCTATTAGACAGGGAAAAGCAGCAGTTTAATGGCTGCTCTGAAGACGGGAAGCTGCCGGGACTTAAGTTTGTGCTGGAGCGGTGAAGTGGTGAGCAGCATGTAACTGGATAAAAGACCTTGAACATTCTTTTGGACAACCCCAAAAAGCAGAACGAAAGAGCCCTCGTTTGGAAGAGTGGTAGTGGCGAATGGGAAATAAGAGGGAAATATAAGGTAAATAAAAAAACCGGAAATAAAAGGACTATATGAAACCAGAGATTAAATTTGGAATAATACACAGAATTGGGCACTAATTAGGCATTGGATAAAATGCTGGACTTATCTGGAATGGACAAAATTTAATGTTAATACTACGGAAAAGAGAATTTTTTTAAAAGGATAAATTTAGCTACCGGTTCGCCAAAACCGGGGTGAACCTGTAGCAGCCCAACCCTGGAGGTCTGGGAGTTCTGGATGGTAAATGTCATGCCCCTGTCGGAATCTGACTTGGAGGAGAAGCCAAACAGTTGACAGGGAGTGGGGCTCCGTTGGCTGTGGAAGAAACTGGGGAAGGGCAAACTCCAGCTGGGCAGAGCAGGGGAGAGGTAGAACAATGGAGAGGAAATTCAGAGGAAGACCTAGGCCCACCCACTCTTCATCCTAGGTCATGCAGGGAGGAATGGAAAAGAGAGCAACATGGGTTGTGTGGCTTATGGTGGAGGAAAGGGCCCTGACTCCCTTCATTAGCTGCAGCTGGGAACGCAGTGTATAAAAAAGGTAAGCTGCATGCATTAAGCTGTTGGGAGCAAACATGACTTTATCTTGTATTGTCGTGGCTTATCTGTGTTCCTGGCGTCTTCCCAACTGTGTGAGTTTTGCTGTGCTTTCAAGTTTGAAATTCCTGCTCCTGCCCTGCCAAACTACTTCAGTTTGGTTTGTTTGGATTTTAAGTTACAGTTTGTGTGTACCTTATTTTGGACTGAATTTTCTACAGTCAAAGGCTGTTCCTGGGAGACTTTTTCTCCAGCCTGAAGAAACCTGGACATTGGGGGCAAAGTTGGAGATAATAAAGGGACTCTTATTGCTTATCTGACTGTGTTGCCTTTGTGCCATGCCCTGGGTGATCACAGTAAAACCTGCTTGCTTTCATTAACAACAAAACCAGTTTTTAGCAAATATTTCTAGCTATTATCTCTGATCTAACAGAAGCAGAGAAAACCAAGAGCAGAATAATATGTGAATAGGATGGGAAGTTACGGAAATACATCCAGGCTTTTGGAAAACAACTATTGCAATTACTCTGCTTTCTTTAATTTAAAAAGCTTTCAGTTTTTGACTCCGGGCAGTTCATGTTTTAAATCTTTTGAAACCCTCTGGATGATAAATAATTTGCAGTGTTCCAGAATTGGCCATGTATTTTATTGA